TCTGCACTTAATACTACAGAAAAAACACAATTTGACTATTAATTGATATTCTAGATTGGCACATATGTAGAAGTCGACATGTACGGTTTGCCTACGGACACGATTCGTAAAGAATTCAGGACTCGCATGGTGCCCGCAAACGGTCTGAATCCCGTTTATAACGAAGAACCGTTTCTGTTCCGAAAAGTCGTTTTGCCCGATCTAGCCGTGTTGCGGTTTGGAGTGTATGACGAAAATGGCAAGTTGCTGGGACAAAGAATATTACCATTGGATGGTCTGCAGGTAAGCGATTCTGTCCCAAAATGTGCAAGTAATGAGCAACACTTGACGCTTCTTTCCAGGCTGGATATCGACACATTTCGTTGCGAACCGAAGCTAACTTTCCCATGTCTCTGCCGATGTTGTTTTGCAATATAGAATTAAAGATTTACGTACCGGATGGGTTTGAGGATTTTATGGCTGCATTAAGCGATCCCCGCGGTTTTAGAGATGCTCGCCAAAAACAGAGTGAACAAATGTCTTCTATGGGGATCGAGGTAAAACATTTCTGTATCTTGTGCCTACATTTTCAAATTTATGCAATTTCTTAGGTGACTGATCAGAAAGCTGCCGAAAAACAAGTGAAGAAGGAAGAAAAAAAAGTTGGTAAGTTTAACGCAATTTTGCAACGATTTGCCTGGATGGACTGACAAAAAATACTCTTACTGTTTGTTTACCAGGACCTCACTAATTTAAATTTAACTTAACGGATTTTGTGGTTCTAGACCCAATCATATTCGAACCAATAACAATCGAGTCGATTAAACAGGATAAAGCATTTCAAAAAACCACTAAAAAACAACTGAAGGATTATGATACATTGAAAAAGAAACAACAGAAAGAGAAGGCTGCTGTACAGAAAAACCAGTGCGCAGCGATTGAGAAGCTGGTTAAAGGAAAAAGGTAAATCGCCTCGTGAAATGGGCAGGTCGCTTTTATCCAGGAATATGGAAAACCATATTATTTCTTAGTTTCTGATAATAATAATATTCCATTGTAGTAAAAGTGATGCAGTGAATGATGCAAATGTGCGAAAACTAGTTACCGATCAAACCATAGAATGGAGCACACTAATGGAGCGACATCGAAAGCAGGAATGGGAGTTTTTACGAAATCAATTAGATGACCAACGAGACCTGCTAAGGAAGCATATGGAAATTCTGCAGCGGCAACAGATGACCCAGTTGGATGCCAAACATGAAAAAGAAATGAAAGAAATGAATAGTCAACAGGCGAAACAGGCAGTCGAAACAGCAAAAGAAGTAAGTATTAGGAGTTAAAAAAATACTTGTTATCTATCCCTTTATTGGCAGATTACCAATGATAAGACTTTAAAAACGAAAAAAGACAAAGAGCGACGATTGAAAGAGAAGCAACAGAATAACACTAAAAAGTTTCTGGAAGAGCGAAAAACCACAGCCTTAAAACACGGTCGCGAAAAGGAAAAACTGAAGCTCACCCACGATAAACAACTGGGAACGTTGTCTCATGATATACAAAAAATGATCGACATGTATAAGAATGAAGAAAAAGAGTACGAGTTGTCTTCTAAAAATGAATTTTTTGCCTAGTCTACGTGCACACTCGATTTTCGCTTATGTTACGCTTTGCTTGTTACGTTTTTTTATCAGTATTAGTCCTAGCTTGATTCAACTGATCTACTAGTACGTATTCTGCGTGACCCATTCGAGGGAATGATTAGGAAGTTGTTGTTTAAATGCCTCTATACATATTTATGTATTAGTCTCAGTCAAATCTTGATCAATCCATGTAAATTATGCATAGAAAAAGCACTGTTTATGTTTAATAAATAGTTTAAGGTTTAGCAGTTATTTGTTCAAATCAAATCAAGAAAATAGCAAATAGGTCATGATATACAAATAGATACCATTTATTTTCAATTTCAACAAACCATTCACTAGGACATCTTATTCTTATTACACTTTTATTAATACGAAACTAATAAATACGAATATCTTTAGCAATAAAGACATGCGAAATAATCATCACTGCTACTGTCTTTTACACCGTTATGCAGCATTCAATAAGAAGTGTTTATTCCTCTCCGTGTATATTGAAGAGCTTTGCGACCTCATTCAGATCGTCGTATTTCTTTTGGTCTTTAAGCACTTGTCGAGCTATCGACATTCTATTGAAAACGTTCCACAATACAATGCCCACCACCACGTCATCGCGCAAATAAAATATTACTCCCTTTCCATAATCTTCACCGTCGATGGGATTTGGCAACAATTTCTTTGAGTCTTTCAACTTGCTTTTTTCTTCTTCAGACAAGTATTTTTCACATTCTTGAGGTAGCTGCAATGCAACACAATATGGCATATTGGCTTAGCAATAAAGCAGCTTAGTTGGTCACTAACCTGTTCAGTCTTTGAGCGGTCGAATTCATCAGTTTTTTCGACGACAGCTTGAGGCGTATCATTGACTGATTGCTTGGCGAAGACTCCAACTGTTGGAAGAGAGGAATCCACAATGCCAATGGCCTCGTAACCTACTTCCGGTCCCAAATCGCTCCAGAACATGCTTTGATGCAAGTAAGGATTGCGGGCACCAGCCATATTTTCTCCTGAAATCACCATTTAATTGATTCCCAACTTGACTATTGCAGCTATCTGAAAAACTGGGTTTTTACCTGCTAACCGTCCGGAAACGACAGCATGATCATGGTGTTCTATTCGACGACGGCCTAAACGTGGATCGTAAAAGCATGCACAATCGCCTGCAATGTATAAATCTGTTCTGGCCTGTAAGAGATGAATAGGTGGCATTAAGGAACAGTTAGATTTTGTGCTCAGAAAATGCCTTTTATATGGACAGACGTTCTAGTTACCTGTAGTTCAGTGTTAACTAAGTACCCGCCCAATTCTGGGTCGACTTCCAAGTCGGATGTTTCAGCTAGTTCAGTATTTGGCTCAACACCAACGCTTACCACCACAAAATCTACTAGTAGCGTTTTACCACTGCTGAGTGTGAGTTCTACTTGATCGTTTTTCGCCTTTGCCCCAACAATTTCCGTCTTGGGAACAACCTAATTCAACATTTTTCAACAGTTTGAAGGCGACTTTCAGAGTATTGACCTATAATGCTTACTTGGACACCTTCAGCTCGTACTTTCTCGGAAGTCCACATGCTGAGATATTCTGGTAGAAGCTTGCCCATATTTCCGCTTTCGGGAAATATCTGATAAATGACTTTGAGCTTTTTGTGATCTAAAAACGGAGATATTTGAAGCGTCATTTAGCACAACAGTTTAACTATTCCTATAAAATAACAACATTTGAGATTTAGGTACCTCTCCGTCCAAACGCACAAGCCAGTTCACTGCCAAGAAACCCACCGCCAACTACGGCCACGGCTTTGGCTGCCTCAAAGGCCTCAAACACATCCTTAAAGTCATCGATGTTTCGGAATAGCTTGATGTTATTTCTGAGGTTTTCATCGGCGAGTGCCACTTCGAACACTGGCGTTAGACGAGGTGTGGCGCCTTGAAAGGAAATTAAGAATATTTAACATCATAAGCATTTCAAAAATGTTACACACCTGTCGCTATCAAGCATTTCTCATATTTAACTTGTTCTCCATCGTCCAAAACGGCAACTTTGTTCAAAACGTCTAAGCGTTTTATAGACCATCCTCGGGCGACGGCTACGCCTCCATTTTCACTTTCCAGCAAATCCTTGCAATGTATATAAAAATCCTCTGGCTCATAAAACAAGCTGCAAATCGTAAAAATCCATTCACCCTCACTAACTTTATGTAACCCCAACAGAACTTAATTGAATTTCCAACATTAAAATTCACTAAATTGAACGCCCTCTCATTATCTTTTTCAAACTCTCTTATACAATACCTTCTTTCTGAGCCATTCCACTGTTTGAAGGTGAGACTTTTTGCAACATCTCGATCCGGATTGAACCAAATCTCTTTGGAAAGAGGAGGTCGCATATAAGGAAAATAGGGCTCGTTCGATACGATCAACACCTAATCAGTAGGATACGAATAGGAATTTTTACTTTACTTTAATTTTAAGTAACTGAACTGACCTTTGCAGTAGGGTCGGATGACTTAATAGCTCGAAATGCAGTGAAGGAGGCAGTTCCTCCTCCGATCAGCAGATAAGGAACTTCTTTTGGAATATCCTGGGAGGAGCCGGGATCTTTAAATCCTACAGTATTGCCTATAGTTGTAATTATTTGCCAATCATTTTAACTCGAGGTAAGTTAATTAGACGCATAAAAATGTGGTTTCAAATTACCTTTTCTGCTTTTGATTTTCTCTGGCTGTCTGCTTTTCTTTGGAGCTCGTCCAAACAATCCAACATAATACAGCTAGAACGTAAAATAACTGTTACTCTAAAGCTGCAAGCATTGTGATGCACTTACAGCTCCGAGCGAAGCGGAGGCAAATAAAACTCCAAAGAGTAACACTTTGCGCCCCTTCTGGTTATATTTTTGCTCATTTTCGCCCCAAGAACCTTGGGGCTGAGGCAACTGATTAAGTTCGTTTGGGGGTTCGCACTGCTTAATTGAGGGCACCTTCTAAAAAGCACATGGTAATTTTCCATCAGGTCGGTTGTGATAACGAAAAACACAAATCAATACCGGTCTGAGTGTATATGGGGAGGTCTTGAAAGGATTAATTTCGACAGGATTGCAGTCACGCAACTTTACACTGTCAAGAGAGGATTCAGGTTTGGTTGGATCGGAATGGCAGGAAGGATGGATTTTAATGGACTCGTCACATACCTTTTTGCCACCATCGCTGCTAAAGTGTTTTTTGTCTAGAACTGTTGTAGACGAACAGCGTGAAGGTCCTGCAATATAAAAGCGAAAACGAAATTAAACTGAATCTTTATCACTGATGATAACATTGCTTATTAGATGAGGCAAGTGTAGAGGTGCATGTTCATCCCATATATCCGAGCAGATACATCACTAATATATTGACAAAGTCAGTACTGTTTTAAAAACTATAAATGCTGGTTTCTCTACTAATTTGCCTGCGTGATCAACCAAGTTAAAAGCAATGGAGCGAAATAGCCAATTTTAACTAGTGGTTAGAGATTTTTAGAAACTTACGTTTGCCTACTGGCGGGGCTCGAGCAAGCGATGTAGCCGTACGAACTGGCAGAAGTTTCGAAGCACTAAAAACAAGTGTAACCCGAAACATTGTATCTTGCTGGCTACCTGGTATTCAACTAAATTATTTGATTTTCTTATAAACAGCTAGCTTTTAATTTCCTTATTTCCATGTCACAGTTTTCATGACATCTCTATAGAAACACTGCCATACTTGAAAAAGAAACTTCAGGTTCAAGCTATCGTCAGTGTAGTCTTCGACCTGCAACCGTTCTTGTGCCCGATGTATATTCGGCTATTTCTTTATATCGGTTTTTTATTAAAAACTGCTTCAACAGACAATCGCCCAAACCACAAACTACTTCCAAATTTTGTGGTTAGGTAGGCAGCTGGGTTGTTCGTGTTCTCTAATCGAACTGTTATTGTCAGATTAATTATTTTGTTGCATTTGGCAACATCACATATATAATTAGTTTATCTAAAAACAATTATTAATATTTCAGTTTAATTGAGTGAGCAGTTTCGCTTTTTACGGTTAATTTTCCATATTTCTTTCTATTTTACTTTAAAACTCTTATTCAAAAATAAATTTTTAAATTTGCAATAAATAGAATGTTTTCTATACAATAAGGCGAAAGTGCCGCTGTTCACGAGCGACATTTCTATTTGGACAGTGCACAAGATATAAACAAAGAGTCTGAGTATTAAGATTTGGTCGGAGGTTATTACTATTTATCAGTATAATTACTTATTAAATATTAAGGTAAGAATGATTACTGAAAAGTAGCAAACTGCCCTAAAGGAATGATTTCCAGCATTTGTGTCGACAGAAAGTTGCTTTGTATATATATATTAGATTAGGGTAAACTTGTCTTTTGAGGACTGCCACTTTTTTGTTCTCTGTTGTTTTACCTTAAAAGCAGTTTCAATCTTGTCTTTATCTATGGTTTCAATGTTCATAAAATAAGCCAAAAGTCCTAACCGCTATATTCTGCTTATAAACCCGCTTTAGAAGTGGGCGGATATTTCCCGTTATACAATGATTACACTTGAATGAATTTATTTCCTATAGGTAGAAATATTAATAAATGGATTAAAAACGTGTCAACGCCGGATTTTGTTGAATTGCCGAAGGAGACAAATTTGCCGCCATTTGACTATCGACGCGCTAGATAACCTCAATCGATAGATGACGTTAGAAAGTATACTCCGGTAAGCTTTTGCGAAAAATTCAATTATTTATCTCAGCCACATTATTGCAAGTAGTGATGAATTGTTGATATTTAAAAGACGATTTGGCAGCAAATAGTACCGGCCAATATTATCATCAGTTTCGTGATAAATAAGTGGTTTTGAAAAGTGTGTAGATGTTGATTATGGACCATCCAAAGTTTTTTTCTCATTGAAGCCGCTTAATAGGTTTAAAGTGTAAAGTAAAACAACAAAAAACGTAAACGACAAGTTCACCCGATTGAAATTTGCTCTCAGATCAATGTTTCTACTGATAAACGGTTGCAGTTATTGATCTTAAGTCAACCAACTTTAATTAGGAGCAGGTTTTCCTTGTTCGTACTTTGTCAAGATACCACGCATATCTATACAGTGTAAATAGACGTTTAATGTTGATAAGAAATTCTCAAACACACATACCTACTGATGATAACCCTGTTGAATTATTTGAGCGAAGTAAATTTCCTACGCTCTTGTCAGTTTGCTGCGGCTGCTTTGCAATCGATTAGAACGCGTACACGCCTGCTCACTTGGCTAGTTTTTCCCGAATCCGAGTTTTCCTGGCCAACAATCGCTTTTGCAATTTGTGAAATTGTGCTGCAAGTTACTGCCTACTTTATAGTGTCTAAGCCATATTTTTCTCGATATTTTGAGGCCTGAAATTGCACATAATTGTTAGCTAGACAGTCTCCATCCAACTACCATGGCGGAAGATTTACAAAAAGTGGCCAACGAAATAGTGGACAATGTTTTAGATGGTGCTGAATCCGAACTAGTTCCAGCAGTTTGCAATGTGAAGAGCAGCCCCACAAAGATGGAGGGAGCCAGTAAACGATCACTAGTCTGCGTAATGTTCTGTCCAAGTAATTATTCCTCAGAATATTGCCAATTAATTTTATTTTATTCCGTTTACGTAATGTAAGAGCAACAGTGTTAAGGGTGCCCGAATTACCATCCAACTCCAGGTTTTGTCGCTAAATGATGCGGTAATATCAAGGGCATGTAATACCTCTACTCATAAATTTATGAGTCAATTCAAAGTCAAACTCATCAATCAATTAAAACTAAGAAGCAGCAAGAACTTCAGTACTTTTTTATAGTTAAATGTCCAAGATCTTATCAGCTGCAGGTGTAAAGAGCATGAGGCTTGTCTGCCTGGTCGTAAACCAGATTTTCGTAGATAACAAGTTTTATCACAGTTTCACCCCAATATTGCATTTATGCTTTATTAGCCTCTTTTTGCAGCAATTCACATCCTATACGCTGGATAAAGTGAATAATATTTACTTGTTTACCTACTTATTCTTTATTTAAAAATCGTACAAGCTAAAAATCAAACAGTTGCATGCCACTTACGTGGCCCTGCATTAATATATGCTTAGGGTGAATAATTTGAGGGTGAAAGTACCTTTGAAAATTACACAAAGGTTATTGCTTGCAATTTCTGATATTTTAAATTGATGTAGATTGGGGCCTTGATAATTTCGGTTTTTTATGCCAGCTCGGATTTGTTTACAGACAATTACAGTGTCTTTTTCGCCGATATTGAATTCATCCGATTAGCAATTTTTTGTTGTAATGATTTGAATTTGTTGTTTCAGATGCCTGGTTTAATCGACTAAATATGAATCCCAAAGGTAAGATATGAACATTTTCTTTGATTTTATGGAATGCGGAATTAATCAGTGACGGCGCATATTCAACGTAGTATAGGTATATTATTCAAACTAACAGATAGACATTTTTTTTATATCTTTATACAGTTGAGTCCGGATATAACGAACTTGAAAAATGAACTAAAACTGGTTCGTTATATCCGGAGTTCGCTATAAGCGAATAATATTGCAAAAACACGTGGTGCATTTTATTTCGTTATTTTAAAATAGAGTAGTAGTAGGTATGACTAAAAAGAACACAAAAAGATAAACAAAATTCAATTTCAAATCTACTTCATAAAGTCTGTGATTTTTGTTTGTACATTTCTGCTGCAAAAATAGATGTTATTTATGTTGTACTTTTCAAGATCACAAAAGGACTCCCAGATATTTTTTTATTTATTTTATTTATTTGATTTTATCTACCATAATTACATATTCTATATTCATACCTAAAGAATTTAAGGAAAATTAACTTATACTTAGACTAAAAATAGTGCAGATGGGCGGATAAAATAAAAGGCCAAAAACACCTAGATGTAGGAACATCTGTATGTGTTGATTTCACCATCTTAGACCATTTCACTAATGTTGAAAACATCGATACCCAAGCATAGTCAAAATTTGGCAACCGTAACTAGAAAAGTTGTGTGAGCTTACATGATGACATCAAACTTTTCACAATTTTTTATCACATACTTTTTACATTGCTTAGTGAAACTAGACTGATTCACAATACTCCTAATTTCCA